TATAGTTGTGTCTTAATGACAGTATATGGTTCCAACCAGGGCTTTGTTAGTCAATTTCATTGTTAGGCGAGTTGTTCTATACATCTGACCTGACGTAACCTTCCTTAAGCTAACATAACCTACCTTATGCTAATGTAACCTCAAGTAACCTAACATGACATTAGCATACATACATCACATAAAAATGAATAATTATTGAAATACAGTAATACTGAAATAATACTGTAATGTGCTGTACTTACCAACTGCATTATGGAGCTAAAGTTTTCTATCTTGTGGAGTGTGGCACAGGGGTTGAGACAACTCACATGACATCATGCACGATCCTGAATGTTCATACTTATAGGGCCCACACACCAAGCAAAGCTGCACTTTAGTTGCGTTAATGAAGTCTGGTATCGATATTGTAAGAATAAATAAGAATTTTACTAAAACTAACCATGTATCATGTATTTATAGCTCTCAAGGCAGGGTTATAGTTGCTACTGAAAACATTTCCATGAACTGAAATAAAATGTGAAAATAACAGCTATAAACAGCAGCTATAAATATTGGTTCAAAAACCGACTGAGGGAAAAAAAAAAAACAAAACGTCAAACACTTCCCCTTATTGTCAAATACTGTTTAGCTAAAGTAATGATTTTGGGCACCTCGTGCAATGAATTTGAACCATAGCAATATAGCCAATGGCACCTGAGCATGACATTTTGTAGTAGGTAGTGGAGTCCTGCAACTGTAACACTGACACAAAAAATACATGTTTAAAATATTTTATTTTAGTTTGTAGCTTTCTAGCAGTCTTTATCATCCTGTAGCAAGGAATCATATAAATGCTGGTATTTCTGGACTTCCTCAGTCAACCATTCTTGAAATCCATTATCCATTGTTAATATTCTGATAACGGAAGGTAAAAAAGGTATATACACTTTTTGGGTCAAATTCTTTCTGACTTCGTTACTTTTTTTCTGACCAATTAATGATTGAGGTTCGTTAGCGGCCTTTCAAATTGGATTGCCTTCCTCGTATGCAAATACACAATTATTTAATTTTCAATATTGCAAACGGAAGTCTCAAAATGAAGACAAAAATTGCCTATTTGGGTACAATAAAGCTGCCTCGACATAAAGCCCTTTCACTCCACTATTTCTACCAACAGCTTTTTTTTTTTGTTTAAATGATGACATTGCTCTTAAAACAGAAGATGAATGTTTATCAATAAAAAAAACTAAAATCTACAACCTGGCAAATGGCTCAAAAAAAACAAGCTTGAAAACCACTGAAAGTTTTAGAATTTTAGGTTATTAATTTTCAAAAAAATAAATATTGCAAAATGCAGTATTTTTAACCTGTGAGCCATTTCTCAATGTTTTAAAATTAAAATGATCCAAGTAACAATAATTCTACACTTTCCACTCTATCAGCTTCCCCATGAGAAGCTAACTGAATTGGTTTGATTTTAGCTATGGATCCTCAGTCTATTCAGTGTCACAAGCAGCTCTTGCATTGTTTGCAACCAGGAGGGAATACTATTGGTTGCTATTAAAAATCTTGAGTACAGCCTTAATTTTAATGCACAGTAAAAGTAGATTGATATAAACGGCATTGTCATTCTACATCTCGTCTTGAAAATATATTGATGTGCTGCAAAAAATCAGTATTCTGCGCAGTCATAGTGAGTCAAGGTCTGTTTCTTGCTCTGATATAACAAAATATATGCCAGTTTGGAGATCTTTCTTGTTGGACAATTATCTTTGATCCTGTTTGTAGGTTGTTTGGCTTATTCATTCTTAACTCTGTTTTGTGAATGACAGAAATTGATTTTTAGACATTATGGTCAGCTTGGCTGTTAGTGTTTGTCCCTATGGATACATCACATCCTATGTGTTACTTGAAGTGGCATACAATGGCATACAATGATGCATATCCCTCACACATTTTTTTCTCATAATCAGTTATGAGAGTAGTAAAGTTCCTGTATCCTACTTCACTAAAGATGAGTGGGACCATTCAATATGTTGATTTCAGTAACACAATTTCTGGAAACAGGAGGAAAAATACTTGAGAGTTTGCCACCTTGTGTTGAGTGCTTTGACCTTTTCTTGAGCCAGCTTTATGCGCTGTGTTTACTTCATGTCTTTGAGTTGCTAGGTGATGGAATATCATTTAATTTTCTATGGGTCTCTGTTGGATTCAAAACAAGGCTCTGCACTTAAATAAGCAGGGGCACAAAAGGTATGTTGTGCCTGGGTATTTTCCTGCCATTTATTCTACCTATATTCAGACATGGTGTTGTTTTGAAAGGTGACAATGTTGGTGCCTTGTTTTTAGGCTCATTGACCAATTTTATGGTGGTATGATCATGTATTCCAAGCTAGAATTTTTGTGGTGTAACACAGCCTTAAAAAAACCTGTTTGTTTGCCCTATTTCTACACTTAAAAGTCCTTTTACTAGTGTTAAAAATAATTTGATGGATACAAGTTAATGGATGCTTGTTACCAAAATTCCAGAACCAGCAACCACTGTAGAGTGCTAGCCTATTTTGTAATCCAAACTTGAATTTTTTTAGGGAATTTCATTTATTTCATCATTGTCGTGTGGTGCTACACATATGCAAGGCAAACTAATAGAACATTTATTTTATCTATTTTTTTTTTTTGAAAAGGAATATTTTATACTGTAAAACTGAACCTACGTATCTAGAATGTATTTAGTCTGGATTTAAGTATAGTCTTTTATTTTTTTTCCCCTGTTATGATCAACTTATATATGCTAAATACAGTGGTACCTCAGAACTCAAACTTAATCTGTTCAGAACTTCGGATTGAATCCTAAAAAGTTCGATTTCTGATCGAATTTTCCCCATAAGAAATAATGGAAAACCAATTAATTGGTTCCCGGCCCCAAAAAATTACACCTAAATATGTATAAAGTTAAAAAACCAATGTGTCCTGCCCCAATCCTCCGCTCCTTCCATGTGCCACGCCCCCTCGTTAACCCCGTGTGGAATCCCCATGTGATCAGCTGTTACTGGTTGTTTTCATTAGCCCTCTGTATTTAGTCCGCGTTTCAGTTTGTTTCCCCAATCTGGTCATTGTATTGTGCGTCTGCGTTTTGCCTGCCTTACCTGTAATTAAACCCCGTATTCCCCGATACCCTGATGTCTGCGCCTTTGTCTCTGTTCCGTCCCCACTCAGCACGACAATATTATTATAATTAAATGTATTAATGGTTTAATTAATAAAAAATCTTTATTTTTAAATGTATTTTATTATATAATAATTATTACTGTTACTGTCTATCATTGTCTAAATGTATTTTTACTGTCTAAATATATGTATTCAGCTAGTGTAAACATGCAGGATGCTATCACAGTGAATGCGAGGCTGAGACTGAAGCGTTACCCTTTATTTCCGCTGAAAGACGTGCGGCGTGACTCATTTCCCCGCGCGTACATGTTGTCTTAGGTCGGCGTTAACGGTTTGACTTCTGAGATTCAGATCGAGCTCTAGGTAATTTTTTTCCGAACTGGTTGGGTCGACTTCTAATGAGTTCGAGAACTGAAGTACCACTATTTAAATTCAACAAAATTGTGGCTCTATCCTATCATTTTATGTGGATTTTATGTATTTCTGGCTTTTCCCCTTAACACATTAAAAGTTTACTATGAATATAAATTAACAGTGGAACTGTTTCAAGCTTACCATGGATGCCTGCAACCACTTATGCAATAGATACCACAATGTTACTTATTGTGATGTTCCTGGGAGACGGACTAATTAAAAGACCTGCAGATTTATAACTTCATTGACATTGAAGGCTTTCTGCTGGGGCCACACAATGTCGGGAAAAAATTCACATTGTGGTTAGGGATGAGCCAATATTGTCTGTATTCTAATATTCAATAATGTAATTATATCAAAGATCTTGAAATCAAATAGTAAAGATATTTTAAGTATTATTTACCAGCAATGTTATTTGTTGTGATTTATTCATTTTCTTATAAATTTGCAGTTCATTCCTTCTGAAATTTACCTCCATGGTTTTTGTGTGGGCTCCGTGTGCTCTCTGAACCAAACATAATAATTTTCTTCCCTACTCACTTGTATTGTGTTGCTTTTGTAAGACATTTAACAAAGATGATTGAAGTTTCATGTAAACAAACTAAAAAGAACTGATCACCAGAAAACGTTCACCTTTCTCTGTATGGAAATATTTTGGATTCCATATAGACAATATTGAGCAAAAGCAAATTGTGAGCACTGCTTGTGGCAAGGAAAATCTGTTTTGCTGCTCATTTTACATATACATTTAGGTTGTCATGCTTGTCATTAAATTACCTTAAAAAGATCTAATTTCCTAATGCCTTAAACATTTTTAATAATTAAAACAAGCCTTTAGTTCGTTTTACATTGTCATTTCCACTTTCTCCTTTCATAAAAAATTACCTAATCGTAATGCGTAAATAACATTGAAAGGATTATTATCAGTTACATTTCCCAGCAAAACCGTTACAATCCTATGCAAAGATCACAGATAGAACTGAAAAAATATGAGCTGAAAGGGTGTGATTAAATTAAATGTATGTTTTTTTTTGCTGGTGTGCATCGGCCAGCTTTGTGTTTGGTATATGGTACACATCTCCTTTATGACATTTGAGAATTGGACTCTAAAAAGAGCAGTGTTCAGTCCATGCTACGGAGTAGTTGGGGTTCCGTTTACTATGCACACTTAAAATGTTACATGTTGTAATTAAATATATATATATATATATATATATATATATATATATATATATATATATATATATATATATATATATATATATATATTCTCACTAATGAACAAGCTTTTTACTAGAATTATATTCTTAGATCTGAATCATATAATAATTCTTGAAAGATGATTGTTTAAAGAATGAATGCATGTTTTTTTTATCCTTTTTAATTTGATGTTTCAGGCACAAAAAATCCATGAATTTTACCTTGACTCCTGGTCTCAGATATTTATCCTAACATAATTGCCATGGGTTTTCCTGCTGAAAGACTTGAGGGTGTCTACAGAAACAACATAGATGATGTGGTACGGTAAGTACTTTAAAAAAAAAAAATAAAAAAAAATTTTCTTTCTTTTTTTCTTACATTTGCACCTTGGGTAGTTTGGATGTTGCAAATCCCGAGTTATTCCAAAAATTGAAATTAAGGGTTATCTCCCGAAACAAAATCTATAACTATGAACAATAGAAGGTAAGGTTTATTTTGCATTGGTGTATTTCACGTGTAACCGCTTATCAAAGGGATATGTTTAGTGCATGCAAAGCCACATCTCTGCTTGCTACATCTTATCCATCCATACATCCATTTTCTGTAACTGCTTATCCTGTTCAGGGTCATGCGGGGTCCGGAGCCTATCTGGGAGGCTACGGGCGCAAGGCAGGGAATAACTCAGGGAACGCAGGGCACACTCACACAGCGTTCACTCACACGACGTTCACTCACACGGCGTTCACTCACACGGCGTTCACTCACACGACGTTCACTCACACAGCATTCACTCACACGGCATTCACTCACACATGCACACCTATGGGCAATTTGGTAACTCCAATTATCCTCAGCATGTTTTTGGACTGTGGGGGGGAACCTGAATTACCTGTAGGAAACACAGGGAAAACGTGCAAACTCCACGTACATGAAGCCAAGGTGGAGACTCATTCCCTAGTCCCAGAGGTGTGTGGCAACAGTGCTAACCGCTGCACCTCTCTGCCGTACCTTGTTACATCTTAGCTGATTAAATTCATGTTTTGTTTATTAATATCCCCTTTTTCGTATCATCAACTGGCTGTGCCTGCAGGAAACATTAAGAATTACAGTATTTTTTAAACATTTGCATCTGCTAATAATTTTATATAAAACTAAACACAAAAGTAAACCAAGATAAACCATACAGTATTTATCTAGGGGCAAAAGTTGTACAATATAGTCCTTGGTTTTTTTAGTGTTTATTTAATTGATAATAAAACAAGTTGAATTTCATATTACAACTGTTTCTCCCTTGTAGTTATATCACTGAAATTATTTAAATTAGTGTATTTAAAGAATCAGTCATCAAAATTCAGACACCTATCAGTGAGACATCACTTATTATTCGTCTTTCTTTTTCTGTACATTCTGTTCTGTACATATTGGCAAGAAAGATTTTTTGCCACAATAAATTTAACTGGGGCGACAAATTGACTGACCTAGAGGAAAATAAAAATGTCCTATCTTTTTAATAATTTTTCTCATAGTGTACATTCCTATGGTTTGGGAGTTGTGGCCAGATGAGATCTTTTTTTTTCTTTCCATTTTTATTTTGTGGATCTGTTTTGTGTCGTGCAGTACCAGTCACAATTTTGGGTATATTTGCCGGAAGCTAGATTTTTGAATGATGTTTTACATTATGAAAATATCATCTTTCTCTATGTACTTGACAAGAACAACAAATTATAATATACAGTACATAAAGAGCAACAATGTTTTTATCTGTTCAAGAAAATTGGAAGTTGTCACTAAATCTTGGATTCCCCAAACAGCCACCATTTGGCTCGATAACAGCTTCACATATTTGAAGGAACTTTAAGCTTCAGCAAGAAATCACCCGGCCTTCCTGCTGCAATTCCCAGATATGCAGTGTGCTCATATGTTGCTTGCTTTTATCTTTCTCTCTGGTTTGTCCCATAGTTCAGGAGGAGTGGGGAGGGCAGGTAGTTCTTGCACAGTTATGATGGATTGGCATGCCTTTGAAAAATGTTGTTTATAGCTATGCTAGTTGAGATTTTCAAGAAGTTAGTGAAGATCACCAACTCTGTCACCAGCAAAACTGCGCCAGACCATGACACTGCCTCTTTCATGCTTTACAGTGGAAATCACACAAGCAGAACTCATGCACTCACCCTCTCTGTAGTGCCAGCTGGACCCAAAATATTTAACATTTTGACTTGGACTGTAAGAGGGGAAACCCAAGACGCAGTGAGAACATGCAAAGACCACACACAGAGTGGAAGCAGATTTTGATCCCCCTGCCCTGCAGGTGCTAGACCCCGCAAAGTATACTTGTTTGCTTGATTTTGTCTGTTTGTGTATGTGTTGCTTTGTTCAGTAACCCCCCCCCCCCCATTTATCAAAATGACACTTTTAATACAAAATTTGAAATATTGAAATTGGAATTGAGGGCCAGATTTGAAGAGCCCTGTTTCAGGCTGTTTACCATTTAACATCATCTTATATAATCTTATATACATCAGCTGGATACACAAAAGCACTGAGAATTAAATTGCAAGTACAAATATATCTCCAGAGGTTAACCATTATATTGATATGCCAAATATACCGCATTACCAAAGAAGTAAGAGTAGTAACAATTAAAGCTCATTGACAGGGATAGCCAGACATCACCACAAAAATAGTCTCAGAAGTACCAGAGAAATGATTCGGCACCTCTATTACCTGGTCTTAACAAACGTTTTGTGTTGTAATTTATAGCAGGACTATGATTTGGAAACCGCTTGTATCAATGTCCTGTGCACAAACATGCATAATGTCACATAGGAGTTCACATTTTGTGATCCTTGAGTAATGGTCTGAGTCATCTTTCACCCTTTTCCCTACAAGTTGATGGGATTTCATTTAGAGCAGGGGTGGGGAACCTGTTCCATGGAGGGCCGGTGTGGGTGCGGGTTTTTGAGATGGCCTCTAAATCAGCCAATAGCAGTGGGTCCCCAGGACTGGAGTTGAGAACCACTGCTTTATTATTGGCTGATTGTGAGGTCATCCCAATAACCCGCACCCACACCGACCCTCCATGGAACAGGTTCCCCACCCCTGATTTAGAGAGAGCCTTCAATCTGCAGTGTCTGTTTCCAGCTGTTAAGCATATTGGGGTAGCAGTATGGGCAGCCAGTTTGCTATGATGGTTGCTTTGTAAGGCCATTGTTACAGAATCAGGTGATCCCATGATGCAAACATTGTTCCCTCATGTTATTCTGATATTCTGAGATGATAATGCCACACATTCTACTCTGAGAATGGCACAATACCCCACTATATTTAGTCCAGGAATTGTGACAGCATTCCAAGGAAATGGGCTGTTCTGAAGGCTAAGGGTGGCTCTGCTCCTTATTTGAATAATGTTAGATACAAGTCACACACCTAACAAAATACTATCTCTTCCCTCCCCCATGTCCTTTAGCAAAAACAAAGTTTAGATGATTAAAAATAAGTGCCGGGCTTATAGTGATCTTTAATAGTTAATTTCTTACTACCAATAATAACTTGGCAGGGACATTTAACATCTGATTTATTTCTTTGTATGGCTATAAACAATACAGCTAGTCAAAAACAAGGTTGGCGGGAAAAATTTAAAATATCATTGTCTGTGTAAATACAAACCAGTTAGGCAGAAACTAAATTTTCAACTGAAAAGATTAATTAACATTTGGAAATGAAAAGTTGATAGGTGTATCTTTAAAGATACACACATTAAAGATTTGGTACTCAGTTAAGACATCAAAGAAAATCATATTTTCAACTAAAAGTAGTGATTGTTGCCATTTTAAATTTGTTCTATTGATAAAATAACTTCAAGATATACAATTTCTTATCACAGAATAAGAGAATATCCTTTACATTTGAAAAATACAATGATTTTTGAATGGTCTATCAAATGGAATTAATACTCAAGCACATGCGTTCATTGTACAGAAAGCACGCCAGAAAATCTTACTGCTGTCTGGTTATGTCAACCCTCTCAGTCTCTCTAGAAAGCAGTTACTGACTGCTTATTATTATACTTAACCTGCAACATCCCACTTTGCATATTTGGTGACCTTATAGCTATTAATCTTGCTTTTCCTAAATGTTTCAACTATACTAGTTGCATTCTCTATTGCCAAGAAGTCTTAAATGCACACACCTGTGTGAGAAGATATCAACCAACATGCACAGCCAGCGCACGCAAACCCTCTATCCTTAATTGTAATAAATCCATTCTTCTAATCACTTATGCTGCTCAGGGTCACAGGGGTGTATTATAATGTCAGTACTAATATTGATAAAAATAGTTTCAGCTCTTATATTCAACTCTTATGCTGATCTGTTATGTTGAGCAGAGATGGAAAGCTCAGGTCCACAATGTGCAAAGCCAAACCATGATTTTGTTTCAGCCAACCAATTGAATACTCTGTAAATGTGACTGTTTATATGAAACTGCGTGGTTGAAACAAAACCTTGGTCTGGATTGGTATTCTGTGGACCAGAACTTTCCATCTCTAATACTGAGCGTTATGTTATTGTTAAAGAACTTCATGGAGAATAAGCAGGCTCAAGGGAGCGGTCCTTCCTCCTCTCACCAATAATGAGCAATATAGAGTTTATATACGGGGATTGACGTAACGGTACGCAAGTACGCATTCACCTTTAAAAGCAATACATGTGGCAATCGATTAATGTAACAGCGCAAATATGTACGCATTTTATGTGCATTTACGCCAGTATAACAATTTCTTATGAAATTATCATGCATTTTAACCTCTATACCACAAAATGAAGTACAAATTAGCATGTAAAGGTTAAAATGTACAATAATTTGTCATATCAGCGCAAATGCACATAAAATATGTACATATTCACGCTATTACAACAATGGATTGCCGCATGTATTTTAAAGGTGAATGCGTACGTGCGTAACAGTTATGTCAAACCCAGTCTACATAATTTAGTGCAAGTAAATTCACAGGCAGGTAAGATGGCATAAGGGGATGGCAAGGCAGCGATGGCACAGGCAAGTAGGCTTGGTAAGTAGGTGGTATGGGAAGTACATCAGCAAGTGTGGTGATGGTCCATGGTTGATGGTCCAGAAATGGTCAGCAAGTGTGGTGATGGTCCATGGTTAATGCAGCAAAGAAGCACCGGCAGATCTAGCTATGGCAGTGTAACCAAAAGGCAGAGGCAGGTGGGAAGACAGGCATGAGGAATCCAGGAACATCAGGACTCCCACATGACAGCAGGCCATACTAGACATTGTGGAGATTTAATTGAAGAGACTTGATGGATCAGTGATGCTTCAAATTAATCAGAGGTGTAGTTCAGGTCCAGAAAATGAAAGTCCAGACCAAGATTTTGTTCCAACCAGGTGAGTACTCTGATTCTTTATACATAACTGGGTAGTTGAAACAAAATCTTGGTCTGGATTTCTATGTTCTGGACCTGATATATCCACCTTTGAAATTAACGTAAGAAAAGTTACATTGACATGATTCTGCTTTAACCCTTTCCCCTTGTCAGTTTGGTACCAAAAGAATATAAGGAGTGTTCAGAAAACTTATAGGCTGTACATTTTACTATAATATAAGTTGGAATAGAGAACCTCCGTAATGTACTCTGTTGCACAAATTCAGCTTTGATAAAGCATGGCATATGTCTGTCTAATTTCCCTTTTTTGTAATAATGTCTGTTCTACATACAGAAATTGTAAGTAATGTAGAATTTGCAAGTAATGTAATATTCATTTATTCATAATCTGACAGAGGGAAAAATATGTGGCATTAGCATAATCAAGGTAGCAAACTTGCTTTAAAGTACATACGTATGGTTTTATGAGTAGCCCTAGAATGTTATACCAAAAACTGTGATTTCTGTTGTTAATAATGGGATTTTAATCTTATGAAGACAAATTACTATAAATTATATTTTGAACCATGCTTTTAACTTCATGTTTTATGCTGTAGACCAGTCTGTTAGTTTCTGGATTCTGAGTTCTGTATGTCTGTCTGTTTACCCATTTTCTAACTGTGTATTCAGCACATGGTTTCAAAATGCACTGTCTAGAGCAGGGGTTTCAAACTCCAGTCCTGGGGGGCCGGAGCCCTGCACATTTTTGGGTTTCCCCTCATTTAACACACCTGATTCAACCCCTTGTGCTAATCACCACACAGCTCTTGAGCTGAATCATTTGTGGTGGAACAGGGAAAGAACTAAGCTACACAGGGCTCTGCCCCCCCCCCCCCCCCAGGACTGCAGATTGACACCCCTGGTCTGGAGAATAAAGTTTGAATAACATAAAAATGAAGTTCATGCATGTTTATCATTTTATTCAGGCCTGTTTGTCTTTTTCAATAGCAGTGTTGAAAGATTCAAAAAAGTGTCATAACAGCGATCATTTTTCATTTGCATAGGTTCCTGGATTCAAAACATAAAAATCATTATAAGATCTATAACCTGTAAGTATTTTACCTTAATATTTTATTATTGTTCTAATTCTTATTACTACTATTTTATACAAAGTAACCCAGCTTCAGTTTTGCATTCAGTTTTTCTTAGAATATCTACTTGGGACTTTTTGATCCACTTTGCTCCCTGTCCTTTGCCAAATTTCTCTCTCTCTCTACTAATTTTTTGTAAGCATATTTTCTGCGTTCTCTTCCAGATGTGCAGAAAGGCACTACGATACTGCCAAATTTAACTGCAGAGGTAACTTAAAGGGATCTATTTAATAATTTGGCATTTACCTATTTTTTTTTATAAACAAATAATTTGATGCTATTGTGTTTTACAGTTGCACAGTATCCCTTCGAAGACCACAATCCTCCACAGTTAGAGCTTATTAAACCTTTCTGTGAAGATCTTGACCAGTGGCTTAGTGAAGATGACAATCATGTTGCAGCAATTCACTGCAAAGCTGGAAAAGGACGCACTGGTGTAATGATATGTGCTTACTTACTACACAGAGGTAAATTTTTAAAAGCACAAGAAGCACTAGATTTCTACGGTGAAGTAAGAACCAGAGACAAGAAGGTTAGTAGCAAATTTAATTCCATGTTTTTAGATAATATCTTAGTCATTTATGTAATACACATTTATACCAAATATACTGTACTGTTTAATTAATCATTTCACTTTATCTCTGAGAAATGGCTATACTTTGCTCAAGTATTAAATAATGGGAAAGACTGATATATAAAATGCACCCTCACAATTAATGCATGAAACTGGCATTCTACATTTTATACTTCAAAAATTTAAATTTTACTTAATAGTTCATTTTTCGAGTTATGTTCATCCTGCTAAGACAAGGGGTCAATAAGCTACTAAAATCACTGGTTCTTTTACAGGGAGTAACAATTCCCAGTCAGCGGCGCTATGTCTTCTACTACAGCTACTTGTTGAAAAAACATTTGGAGTACAAGCCTGTAGCACTGCTGTTTCACAAGATGGTTTTTGAAACCGTCCCTATGTTCAGTGGAGGAACATGTAGTAAGTAGTTTCATATTTCAAGTAAAAACAAAGACTGAAATGCATGGGAGTACAAAATCTTCCATGTTACATTTGGTGTGTGATTCATCTATTCCTACACCCATTATGTTAGTGACCTAATTGGCGTTCTCCAAAACTGTCGGCAGAAAAATACCTGCTAACAATTTATATAATGTTCGGTTTACTATGACATTGATCTGGAGATTACATTTCTTCAATTAGGTATATTTTACATTAAAAAATTTAAGTGGTAAATATTTCTGTATTTGATTGTTAAAGTGTGGTATAAATGTGAATATTTTTATGGATAATGAGCAGTGGTAGGAAGAAGTATTCAGTTTTCATGCTTAAGTAAAAGTACAAGTATCATACTGAAATGTTACAAAGCTTTTCCACTGCACCAGGTATCATGCTTCTCCAACTTCAAAAAAGTACCAAAAGTACAGTACTTCATTGTGTTGGTTTTCCACTGGTGTAAAAACTGGAACTGAGGCGGTATTTTGTTCTGAATATGAAAATGGCTAAAGAATTAAAGAATCAGTTTAATGTTTACCTCTGCTGCTTTTGACAAGCAAGACGATCAATAATCATTTTTATCCTTGCTGTTTAACTCACTTCTCAACAAGTTTGTGAGAAATTTATTTTAAACTCCATTTTAGCTTTAGAAATATCCCAATATTTATTATAACAAAATCACATTATGATATATAAAATTTTCCAATATCATGCAGCCCTAGTATCTTATACAAAATAGTTTATTTCATGCCATCCTGATCTTGTTGTATCTGTTCTTCCGACCAATTCGCTAGTAAACCTTGGGTCTCTTCATTTGTCCTTGCTGTTGTGATTTCCTTTTTTTTTTTTTTTTTTTACCTTGTAGGGCAAGGTTACCAATCAGAGCACACTGAGCTCATTGGGGGTGGGGCCAAAAGCTCTAACAGAGCTTTTCATATGGTTATAGACAGAGTGAATAGATCTGTACAGTATGAGGAAAATACTGTGTGTTTGGAGCATTGAAGCATGTAAATCTATTCTAGTAGACCCCAAAAATAAAATTATGAACAGTGAAAATAAGTGTAATAGGGTCCATTTAAGTAAGTCATCCAATAAAATACTACTTAGGTGGAAGTAAAAAAAATATATATATCAGTAATCATATAAAAGTACTAAAATTTCAAAAGTGAAAAGTACTACACATTCAAATCTGTTGATCTTACAAAAAGCAAACTGTCCTTTTCAGTTCCCTCAAGACGGGTATGAATACAGCACTGCAAGTTACTGTATATTGGATATTTTTCTTTTTATTTGCAAAATAAGCTGTTTGTAAGTAACTTGGTCACAGCTGTAGGCTAATCGACGATAGCAGACAGGTAACCTGATGTTGGTGTCTGACAGTGACTGACCGGTAATTAGCACCTTTGTGCTATTATTTTTACTCCTCATATGGTATACGACAGCATCGGAGTATGTAACTGTTGGTCATAGTGGTGGTACGCAGCTTACCGTCCATCCCCCTAGATTTAGGATACATGTAACTAGTCATGTCTAGTACGTCACTCATTAGAACCTAATAACCAGGGAGCACAGTCCAGTTTTTAAGCTGCTCCGGTAAACATTAACTGCCTTTGCTGCTGCACTCGGGTGCACGGCATGCTTTTTGCAAACTAATGATGGTTCCCTGCAGTATGTATTGGTGTAAAAAGCCATTATATGACTCAGAAATGTAGCAGAAGTAGAAGTTGCACCAACTTGAAATACTCAAGTAAAGTACAAATTTGGAAGTATTTGTACATCGTTACTTATACCTCTGGGAATAACTTCTGTTATTTCACTTACTTTGGTGCTCTGTCAAAGCTTATTCTGTAAACACTACCACCTCCAGCTCTCCTAAGACCAGGTGGCCCAATTCTGAATAAGGGAGAGTTCATGTGCAAATGAGAAATAATTTAAGTATTAAAGATTTTAGGCTGTGTGCACTCAGCCTAATTTAAGTGACTGTTCGATACTAACGCACAAACGCATTGTACAAAACGGGGCCCTATTTATGCCATTGACTTTGTCAACACCACAAAAAGCAGTGAAAATTAACTGAGAAAAACATATTGAGAAAAATAATCTGACATACCTTTGCAGATCCACAGTTTGTCGTCTACCAGCTGAAAGTGAAGATCCACACGTCTAACCCAGCGCACACACGGCGGGAGGAGAAGTACATGTTTTTCGAATTCCCACAGCCTCTACCAGTCTGTGGTGACATCAAAGTGGAGTTTTTCCACAAGCCAAACAAAATGATGAAAAAGGTACTTATAACCGTTTGCAAAGTCGCAGTACTATAGTAACACCTTCCATGTGTTGCTGAACTTTTGTTCTACACTAAAGTGTTGTCTTGTGTACATATTATATTAGTTCTTGGTGTTGTATTATTGGCAATAATAATAATCATCAACATACCACTGTGATTGATGAGTGTTTACACTTGCAGGAATGAAAGTTTCCACCGTGAACTTTTGATGTAGTACATATTTAAATTAGTATAATGAGTGTTTTTCTTCAGCAGTATTCTAGCTGTGTTTTGTAAGTGCAAAATATAACTGTCTTGTAGGACAAGATGTTTCACTTTTGGGTCAACACCTTTTTCATACCTGGACCAGAAGAAAATGTAGACAAGTTTGAAAATGGAAGTTTGTTGAAGGAACTGGATGGAATTCAAGCCACAGAGTATGTTGATGGTGACAAGGAGAACCTTATTCTGGTATTGACAAAGAATGATCTGGACAAAGCGAATAAAGATAAAGCCAACAGACTGTTCTCCCCAAACTTCAGGGTGAGTTTGCTGTCGTTTCCTTTTTTCTTCCTTGTTCCTCCTTCGGTTTGGACCCTTCCCCTAGACAGGAGTCCACATTGACTGCCATCTTAAATGGCTTTTCTTAGATGTCTATAATGCCATGAAATTATACAGTGCAAGCTGTGTATTTTTACAAAATTTACTAGATGTCTACTCTATAAAATCATAATTTTGATTCTTTTGCATGCAGTGGTATTATCAGTCTCTTTAGAACAGTTTTAATCTTGCCTTGCAAGTGAAATCCAAATACATCAATTGTCAAGATGCATTTCCTTCGATAAGAAGTGCAGCAATAATCCCCTTTTATTTGAATGTTTTTGCTAAACATCTTAAATATATTTTGAACTGCAGTAAATGACGGTACATAAATAGTGACTCTTCAACTGACAGTTTAAGATGGGCACAGCTTAATGGGATGTAGAGCATACACTGGAGGGAAATGCTTTATTATAACTGATAATTGATCAATGAAGCAGACTTCTCAAGTTCACTTGAATTAATGTGGGACATAAGAGTATTGGGCAATTAAAAAAAAATCTTTATAAATGTCTAATGTTTATTTGAATAGCAAGAAATACTTGTATTTTAGTGTCCACGGAATTAAGTTGAAATGCATGCAAACAATTAATGCCATAAAAATCATTTTAAAATCTTTAACTTATTGATTAAAGCACTGCCATCACCAGTTGCGAGTAGTCAAAACTAAATAAAAAAGGTACAGACATCGTGTCAGTTTTTGTATTGTACAATAATAAAAACCCGGGGCCCCCAGCAACTGTGACCAGGGTAACCGGTTAGAACATGGATGGATGGTTATAGCAATATTATCAGGAAGGTTGCAGTATATAGCAGTGGACCCTAGAATAAGTGGGGTGACGTTTCTCGGGTTTTTATTGCGTGGGAAGTACTGTGACTTTTTCTATAAATTCACATATATTGAGATGCGCGTTCTCTTCCAGGTGAAGTTGTACTTTACGAAAACAGTGGAGGAGCCATCAAATTCTGAGGCCAGCACTTCAACATCTGTCACGCCGGATGTTAGTGACAATGAACCTGATCACTATAGATATTCGGACACCACTGACTCTGACCCAGAAAATGAACCATTTGATGAAGAGCACCATACACAGATAACAAAAGTTTGAAATATTTGAGAAAGAGAAATAAACAAGAAGAAAAAAGGAGAAAACTTGAATAAAAGAAGTACCTGTTCCCCCACATGGCAATAGAACTTTTGTTCATTGTTGTCATGCTACCTGTTGCAGAAAAACTATCATGACCAATTTTTTTCCCCCCGAATATCCACAAGGTATTCAGTGGCAAATGGTTTGGTAGCTGTTGTGTATCTATTTGTGTCATAAGGACAATGGGGAAAAAATGCAATTAGGAGATGGAAGATTAGGTGTGAGAGACAGAAAAATACAAATGTGCTGCTCCATCTCCTGTGGAACCAAGGCCAGTGCTTTGCCGTCTGACTCTGCAGCTACCCTTCCATCCTACCTACTGTGAATGCTTCTTGTGCTGTTTGCAGGCTGTCTCAAATGAGTTGACATGCATGCAGTGAAAACTGCATGTTAGGATTCTGCAGTCTTGTTAACATTTTGAATAGGCTATATGACATCAAATATTTGCCATTCCTTCTACCACTGTGTATTCTGTTAAAATATTCAGAAAATAGAATCCCACGTAATTGTCATTTTTAATAATATACAACTCAGCAGGGAAACAGTGTTGCAATAATGTTAACACTATTCATGAGCAAATGAGTGTGCATGTCTTTGGAGTTGGTGTCCATCTTTAATAAATGGTATATGTTTTTCTAAAACAAAAAGTTTCAAAGTCTTTTAAAATTGTATTTGCCCGAATCTTTCACAAACAGTATTTAACTTATCCATTATACAGTGGGATCCCATTATGGGTCACGGAATCCCTTTGACTGAACCATTTTTGTCTTTTGTAGTGCTAGCAGAATAAAAATATCTTAATGGTATGTTGGTGACAATTCCACAGTGAAATATAAGCTTGTGGAGAATTTACCTGTTGTACAAAACCTTCTTTTAGTTCTTCAAAAGATGATTGTAATTTGTGTGAGTTCTGGTTAAATCATTTGCATATCAAATAATGGTGCTTATCAACTTCCAGATAATATATGTTAAATATAAAATGCATAGTGGTAATTAGAACTGTGTTCATTCACTGTGGAATTTAAGTAGTCTTACTCTTGCTTCAGATCTTTATCAGTTTCTTCTGCAAATCCAATGACTACTTCAGTACATTCCTCAAGCAACCAAAGTGTCTTTACAAATGAACATCACCAGATTGAGTGTCGAACAATACAAGAGCTAGACGCTCAAAGTGAAGATAAGGAAAATGGCAATCAGACATTCAAGAAATACCTATAGAATCCAATGTTACCTTCGAAGAAAACATCCAATACTGAATTAAGATGCTGGGCCCTTCAGGGTGACGAACTAGACGTACTTGATGCAATTCAAAGGAATAATCCAAGAGCAATCTGAAAATGGATAAATGAAAATGCCAAAGAAAACATGATGGATGACAGAAGGAAAGTTAAAATTACAAAGGAGAGAAACCAAAATCAGTACGGAGCTCCTAAAAGTACTGAAATGTGAATTCTAGAAAAATCAACATTGCAAAATCTTCTAGCAAGCAGTTTCATTGAATGAGATGAACATGAAAAAGCAAGGGCTGTGTTGAAGAACTATGAAATTTAAAGAAGTTCCGACCTCAAGTATGGATGGACATCGATTGGCCAATAACTGATCGACGAGAGTCAAGTAAAGATGGAAAAAATACTAAGAGACTCTATTGCAAAGACGTCAACGACTAGTCTATAGAGTTTAGATGCATGGAAGAACCTTTATTAAAGTGGATGTGGGATTAGCCCTGAGATCACAGCTGAAAAGGAGGGCAAGAAGGATAGACGGCATCCCTATAGAAATACTGTAAACAGCTGAAGCAGAATTAATGTGTTGACTAAATTATGCCAAAAAAATCTACTCATTGGAAGAAATCTGTTTATGTTCCTATACCAAAGAAAAGTAATGTGACGAAATGTGAAAAATATTCTCCCTCATCCTGCATGGCAATAAGATTACACTTCAGATCACTCAGCACAGATTAATATCCTACATAAAGAAATTGCCTGATGTACAAGTTGGATTCGGGAAGCACAGGCACAAAAGACTAATGAGAATCACAAAAGCTTTAAAGACCTAAAGGCAGTCGATGTGTGGTTTACTCACTACAACAAAATATTTAATTGTGTTGACCATACCACACTATGGAATTTTCTCTGGAAAACGGTTGTGCCAGAGTCTCCATGAAAAATTTAGACTATACAAACCACAAAATGAAATATGGAGAAACCGGTTACAGATAGCTAAATAAATTAAACAATAGAATAGAATGCCTTTATTATCATTGTAACAATGATGGAGTACTATTACCATTCGACTTGTATATGGAGAGAAGCTGGACTCGAAGAAGACAATGGTGGACAATTGCCGTCCATATCGCAATAACACCACACACAAGAGAAAATGAAGTATATCTGAAGACACGAGGAGGGGAGAAGATGGGACTGTAAATGTAAAGAAAAACACTGGATCCAAAACTAACTATATTGCTGGTGATGCAGACCGAGTTTAAAGACAACTTTTGCCTCCTTGGAGGCAACATCAACAACAAATGGCCTAGAAGTCAGGAACTGCATTGGAGAGTGGCTTCTGCAATGAAAGATCAAGAAAAAATTGTCACATGTTGAAGATCAGAATATGGTATTTTCTGTGGCACTTTATCGATTTGAAACCTGGACAATAAAGAAGCAAGGATATCAATGACTTTTAAGAATATGGACTACAATATCTGTTGTTGAATTAATATACAAATGTAAAAAAGACACTGTACTGAATCCATGAAGAAGAAAAAAGTAGTGGATTTTTCATCACATCAAACCAGAACTTTCACTTTGTCATTGTAAAAAAGTTAAACTAATCTACTTTAGCTGACCCTGCTTTAAATATAGGAGTAATTTACATCCTGTTGGTAGGAGAAAGTAATTCACTTTTCTGGTTATCTTCTCTCTCAGAAAAACAAATTACCACTTAGATGCTTTAGGGGGAAAACGGTTATCACTAAATCTGACACTACTCTGTTTAATCGTTTATCTGGTTTGTATGTTTGTTTTTGTATTAAAACTGTGATTACATATGTAGAGGTGTGTAACAACGCATTTGTAATAATGCCGCATTATGTAATAACTCGACCAAATGTAACAAATTTTGATCACAATGTGATATTACATAATGTGTTGTCACATACTATGTAACAATGCAATATGTAATATCGCATTATGCAATAACAACAAAATGTTACAAATCTATAGACTATATTATAATTTTGCATTGCAACATTACCCTATTATTATCATCATCATTATCATTGTTATTATGAGCATCATTCAGTTTGTTACTTTCTGTCGAGTTATTACATAATGTGACGTTATTGCATAATGCATTGTAACAACGTGACTATCCTTAATCCCCAGACCATTGTTTGATATGGTGTTCCCCAATTTTGAAGGACTTGCTTCAGGAGTTTAAACGTTAAAGTGGAACTCCTTGAGATTTTGAGGTTTATGGCATGACAGCGTTGAAAATTTAGTTGCAAATTCTATGCGTTTCACATGAAGTGCCTTTGGTTAAATACTTGGACAGTCTCATTTTTTATTTTTTATTTTTTCCAGTTTAAAGGTAGTTTATGTGATTTTAATGTGATACACTTTTGTCAAATTCAGGATATGTCTCCTCACAGTCCAGTAGCTGTCCGTTAGCAAATTCCCCTGAAAATTAGTTGGCAAAACTAGGGAGGAGTGGCTTCGGCGGAATGCCTTAAGCGAAGAGGTGGGATTGTGTTGTTTGGTTTGATCCAAGCCACTTTGTTGGGGCTGCTTAGAAACACTGGGTTTTTTTTTCCCGCACACAAACAGAACACTAGAAGACTGGAGACATTTGCTGAATTTGACTAGAAGAGTATTGGATTAAAACCGCATACCCTAACTTTCACAGATATAGAGATTAAATAAAAATATGAAATGGACAATACAGGTTACCTCAAGAAATAAACTGAAACACCTGTTCCTCGTTAATACCAGGGTTTCATTTAACAGCTGTAAGCATATGCAAACATTCTGTTTTCGTGTGTAAATTAGCCTTATTCCTTATTAGCCTATTTACATACTATAGTGCTGTGCTACATATGCTTTCATTATATCTCATTATAATATTAATTATAATGTGTATGACCAAATATTATAAATGTTATGTTAAATATCAGCTTTCCATGTGTTTAACATTTTCTGTTCAAGAAATATCAGTGGATATGTTTGAGATTATATTTAATTTTTTAACTTGTGTTGTGTTAGTCTGTAAAGAACTTGAGAGTATAGCCAGTTACACTTTTATACATTTGACTATTTTGAATTGTATTGGAATTGAAAGCCAAAAAAAAAGCTTAAAAAAATAGCAGTGATACGACGAACCTGATTTGCAAAATTGAAAGTTTCCAAATGTTTCTAGGAAATGTTAACGTTGGAGATGTGCGCAGAACACAAACCTAACATTGTCTAGAAGTGCTACCATCAGATATTTCCATTTCTTATTAGGCAGATGTTGCTCAAACATCCCCTAACGTAAAAGGGAAAATGAAATGATTGGAGCATTAATATTAATTGACTAGATAACCATAAGCACTCCCTGGAAAGATTTCTCTACGTGGCAAAATTTAAAAGTGCTGCAGAGGCCAAGTGATGAGCATTAGCACTGTGCCTTGTCCCCCTTAAATTGACAAAATTAATTTAATTTGAGCCACATGCCGGTGGAATTCTCACTTCTTTACATTTACAGTCCCATTCTAATGATTACAACAAAACAATGGATACCATAGTGATGGTGGCACAATAGCACTACATATTTTATGACTTTAATTGTACATTCTGATTTAAAGTCAAATAAAGCAAACATGTGCAAAACCTCCCAGCCTCAATCTGAAACTTATACTTCAGAATTTGTTACTCAGATCACGCCAAAGAAAATGTGGGTCAAAATACAGATTAAACTGATCGAAAAAAATATTTAGTGAAAAATATACAGATAAAGTATATTCAGTCCAACCACAAAAAAGGAAGACATTGATTCAGGATGTGTGGGAGGGAGTCTGTCGCAACTTGAGAAATCCAAGGTACTTTTTATTGTCAGGTGCATATAAGCACAATACTTATTTGTGGTATTTCTGCAGATGAAGAGGCCAAATATTTTTTAATTATAAATATAAAACGTGCCACAGTCAACAATAACACAGGTAAACCCATGTAGAACATATTTTGATGACCAGGATATATTTAACGGGTTAAATAATGTGATTGTCCATTGTAAAAGCATTTCAGGGCTCTGTTACTCTTCATATGTCTACGATACGGAGTGCTTAATGTACAAAGAGAAAAGTAGCTGTATATGGAGAGTGGAGCCCATTGTAATGTGGTTAGGCTTTGTAAGGCATTGTGCATATATATGTGGACTGCTGTGAAGTATATGCCAGTACTGCAGTCATTGCTGTTCCCCACTCTCTGCAGTGCTTTGTGGTCCTGTGCTGAATCCTGATGTAACATGTTACACAATGAGTGAGAAATTTCCTGTGCTACTGGTGGTATTCAGACCTCCTTCAGACATCTGGGGAAGTTAAGGCACTGGCAGGCTTTCCTAATGACTGATGGATTACATGTTATCCAAAAGAGAGGCTTCTGGTGGTGAATTTCACAGCTTTAGCTGGTTTTTGCATGTCCTCTAAACCTTTGGCATTACCCTTCAAGTAGTAGTACATAAAACATACTCTAGAATTAAGGGTTAAATTGAAATCTGGGAGATGGCATGTGCTATGGACATGTGCATGTGCATAGGTAGAGCAGAGGTCGTCCTGATCAGCGCAAGAAATGTAGATGCAGACGAGTTGGCGAAAACCTCTTGGTGCGTCGGAACGGAGCCCACATACGAATATTCCCAGCTCCATCTGTTTTAAATTGACTTATTTCCAGGTCCAAATCAAACTTTTTCAAATGCAAAGTAAGCATCTGATCCTTATGCTTTGGCACTTTGATTACTGGAACATTTGGTACTTGATACTTGACCGGAAGTCAATGGAAAAGGGAAACTACCAACAATACTGCAGCAAAAGTACGGCACCTGGTGCAGTGGAAAAGCACCCTAAAAGGCAGGCTTGGGTCAAGAGGCACATCAGTTTTGGCATCACTCTCCACTACTGCTCGATGTCCCGCACTTCGGACGATATGGCAGATCTTCATCAGTTGAGGCCAAAAGAACATCTGCAAATAGCAGCCCCTCCCAAATCTGATGGAAGTTCCTTGACAGTCTGTGCATGAAAACTGAGTGGAAACTTGGTGCATGTCTTGATATATATACAGGAGCCAGACAGGACACATTTAATGCCCCCCATACACCATTTTCCTGCAGCACATCTGACAGTATGTTCCATAGCACACAATTATGACTTAAAGCCCACAAAACACATGCAGACTGTTACCAGACTCCTGTGAACTCAAGGGAAACCAGGGAATAATTGGTCCACTAATTTTGGCCAGGCTAGAATCTATATTATCCTTCCTGAATATTACGTTCAACCAATGGCTGGAATCTGGCGTAAATTTTCCCTGGAGTGTCGAGACGTGTGAACACACCCTCTAGTCCCCCTTTCTAAATGTAAGGTCCACCTCCCTTGATTTATAGAATAGTGATACTAAATGTCTATCAACCCTGTATCATCTTTCTCTCCATAAGACAGACGCGCCTCTCAGGGGTCCAACGGTGGCATCTGTTTGCCGGAACCAGCAAGTTTCTGAATAGAATCCATAACAAACCACTTCTGACAATTCTTCCTCTCCAGGTACTTAATTCCAAACAACATTAACCACAACACGCCTTCGTTATTCTACGTTTTCAGCATCCCTGGAGAACTCCTATAGCCCTACAGTCATTCCAACGGAACGGTCTCTGGCCTCCATAATAGCTTGATTTACAACATACCAGCAGAGCCTCTTGATGACTGGGCATTAACATTCAGTCATTTGAGAGCCACAGGGATATCATTCAGAACATGTAGATTCACCCTGGCAATAGAGGAGGACACTAGGTTTGAGAGACTTCAGGTGAATGTGGGGATTACAACTATGCTCTTCAAGTTCTACACATTTCAGAAGTGCTTAGTACAAGCATCCCCCACATTTAAAAGTACAACATTCCTATGTTACCCTTCATAAACCAAAATGGCATAAGGCAAACAAGCAATTACCATTAATATGGGAAAATAGTTCAGCGTTCCCAGATCCAAAATCATCAGATCATACCAAACACAAAAAACGTAAAGTAACACTAACACGCAGGAATGATATAAATATGCAGCCTATATAAAACAGAAAATTTATGGGCAGTGTAATTTCACTTCTCAGAATCAAGTCATGCATCACTTAAGCCATACTTGAATTGTAACCCTAACCGCTTAGTCACAACACCCGCTACAGGCAGAAAACCAAGAAATAAGTGAAAATGTTGAGTAAATTACTTTATTTAATGTCAGATTAAGGGAAGCAAAACAGTTACCACACCTGTAAGCAGCAATGCATAGGCATTCAATACATTTTAAAACTACCGAATACAAAGGATCATCCCTCACAAGGATAACCCACAAACTAGATAGTGTGATTAATGCAGTATCCTACCAAAGCAGAAGAATCTTGACTGAAAAGGTTGTTTTAGCAATACATCATTTTTATAAATTTCATAACTGTGATGAGGGGGGGGGGGGGGGGGGAAATAAGGCTGTGAAGCACTTTGACAAGAGGCAACTGTCAAGACATTTCAGCGGCGGACAGTGGTCCATCCCTCGTCGTCAGTCTCGTTCTTGATCCGGCGTGGGTTGTCTTTATCTTTGTCTGAACGCCAAGAACTCCTTTCTCCATCACGGTCCCTTTCCCTGGGTGGAGTCTTCCCAGGAGTTTCACGGTCTTCTCTGCGCTCATCTCTCTTCTCTTCATTACGCCGCCAAGAAACACCTATATGCACAAAGAGCATGAGATACCTAAATGACCAGACAAATGCAAGAGAAGAAGTATTCCAAGCTGCACAACAGGTCTAGCAAATGCTGCTGTAACAGACAGCTATCCAACCTTCTTCATTTTCTCTTGGCGGGGCTCTGTTTTCCCGATCTTCCTTCCGCTCTCTTATGTCCCGGCGATCACGGTCTCCACGACGATCATCACGGTCAAATTCTTCACGTTCACGCCGATTCTCTCGCCAACCGGAAGCATCTTCAGTACCACCACGCCTCCAGCCTCCACCACTTTCCTCCCTGGAACACAATCAAAGACAATAAGTGTCATGCCAATAGTCCTTGATAAAAAAAATAAAATAAAATTGGATTTATCAACCAGTTGTATTTCTGAAGTTTGGGTAGACTGATAAAACGTAACTTGTCAAAAGCGCCATTTAATTTCCAAAAGGAAAAAAATTCAGAGTATCTTACTGCAGAAACCACTAGTAAAACAGGAAAATTACAGGTGAACACACTTCTAGCAGACCACTGAACAATTTCCAAGTATTTTACTACAATCGTCGATGTCCCATAACTACTTATCCACTTATATTAGCATATGCTTAAGACTATCCTAGGGATAGATGGGGCTGGTTATAGATTTAATCTTAAAGGAAAAGGAACACTCGAAAGGGAATCAGCATTTTCAAATGAAATCAAGGTTAAACAGACCTGACTTAAGTCACTGAAACAGATAAGGTGCCACAATGATTTTGCTATATTGCATAAATTTGCAATTATATTCTCACCGTTGAGGCCTGCGCTCCCTGAAACGATCCATGTCTTCCCGTTCATCTCGCTCTAGTTCGCCTCCTTCATCACGGTTCTCGTCACCACGAGGAGGTCCCCAACTCTCTTCGCGAGCCTTCTCCCTCTCCCTCCAGCCACCTTTCAATTAGCATAAAACAAGTCTCAATTTAGGCAAAGCCACAAAGCATTTTCTGTAGAGTGCTTTTAAAAAAAAAAAAACCTCTTAATGCCCACTTCCAACACATGTAATTACTTTCCAACCTTTGACCTTCATGTTGTGCAGGTTCCTTGGTTGTAATATAAAGGAAACCAAATGCTATCAAGCACCATTTTTCAGCAGCACATTGAGCCAAAACTTCCGTAAAAACCAAGAATGTACTAAAATAATTTGCTTAAGTTTTGCTCTCAGTGATCAAATTTAAATAATTACTTTCCACTGAACTTCCTATCAATACAATGTACCAATTATGCTTTATTCCTTATGTGCCCAACTGAATGTTTCCGTCCTGCTGGTCTTCATCCAAGTGCCAGCAGAAAGCTTACCTGGCCTGCCAAGGGGTTTCCAAGGTTTGGCATCATCCCCATGGTGGGTTCCTTGATCATCATCAGCCCCTCGCCTTGGACCTCTCATTTCGTCCATCCCTCTTCGTGGCCCACGGTCATCATCAAAGCCTCTCCGGGGTCCACGGTCTTCATCCAGCACTCTCCTGTGACCTCTGTCGTCATCCAGAGCTCTTCTAGGACCCCGGTCCTCATCCAGACCACGACGTGGCCCACGATCCTCATCAAAACCTCTCCTCAGCACTCGCTCTTCCATCCCCCCTCTGCGAGGACCATCTCCCCGTCTGAAAGGTTCCTTCCCGTCTTTTTCTTCATCTTTGATGAAGCTAGCTTTATCTTCATCTCGATTTTCTTGGCGCCAATCTCTATTGGAGAACCCGTAAATGCGTTCAATAATTGGTTCTGAATAAGCATGGAATACATCCAGGAAATTCATCTAATTTTCGCAGCTAGATTAAATGAATTGGAATTCACCGTTCAGGCACAGGACGACGCCAATCAGATTCTCCCTCCACTGTCCTCTTCCGCCAACCTCCCTCTTCTTTTTCTGACCAGGGCGGAGTATCCTATAAAGA